CATCTCGAAGAAGGTCTCTTACCCACAAGACCAAGCTTTCTTGACCTTTAGGAGTCTCCGAACCTATTGGTCCTTTTCCTGATAGCAGTTCGAGTAGAACAACACCAAAAGCATAGACATCAATCTTGTCACTTACTTTACCATACATGAAATATTCAGGAGCAAGATAACCAAATGTTCCAAGAACATCATCTCGGGTCAGAAAGGATGAAGTAGTTGGTCCCCATATCGCTAGCCCAAAATCAGATAACTATCACATTGAAACAACAATATGCCTTTTCATCATTTTGCAACAGATTGAATTTTCAAACTAGCATAACTACCATTTTCATACCTGAGGCTCAAAATCATCTGAAAGAAGAATGTTTGAAGACTTAACGTCTCTATGAATTACTGGTTGAGAACACTCGTTATGTAGGTAATTTAGGGCTTCAGCAATCCCAACAGCTATGTTATATCTAACCTCCCAGGACAGGGCTTGTTTATCTTTGGCTGCTTCATATATACATGTACTCTCATCAGCATGATTTATGAGAAATTTTCACAAAGCAAAGAAAAACTTAAATGTCGTTACCACGTAGATTCTCTTCTAGGCTTCCTTTAGATGAGAAATCATAAACTGATAGAAGATCATTGTCTTCAATGCAGAGCCCAATTAGAGGCATGATGTGTCTATGCTTTAATGAGGAGATGACATCAACTTCATTGGCAAAATCCTTCCATGCCTTGGATGACTTCAGGATCTTGATTGCAATTGGCTTGCCCTCTGGAAGGATCCCCTTATATACACGGTTACATCCTCCTTTTCCAATCAAATTTTCTGTTGTAAAAACAGACTTTAGCCAAAAATACGCTAAAAGATTTATAAAGATATCAGTAATCTCTAGTCAAGTTAAGGGTAAGAACCTGAGGAAAACTGAGAAGTTGCAGCTTTAAGGATTTCATAATCAAACCATTTGCAATCAGATGATTTTGTTTCCAGGAGCATCTCCAGGCTTCTTTGTAGCTCACATGGCACTGATAAACGAGTTCTGTTACTCTCAACTGGTTCTTCACTTCCCTCCCTTTCCATTTTAGCTTCTTCAATAGTTGAACATCGAGAAATTTGGTACATGGAACGACTTGGTAGGTTCATTACCCATTGCACCACTGACATATTCCTTGCGTCAGATGCTTGTGGTATTGCTGACACATGTCTCCGGAGTAGTGGCCAACCAGGCCTATGCTCCAAAATATCTCCTGAGCAAGGAGAATTTTGCCAAGAAGAAACTCCCTTCTCTTCGTTGATAACACTTAATATCTCATCCTTTGAGTCTTCACTACCATGTCTTGATTCATCTCTGGAGCTTTGAACCCCTTCAGAACTGCATGCCTCCGTCCCAGCTTCAGAATCACCAAATTCAGATTGACATTCTTTGAAAGTGGGTTTTTCAGGTAAAACAAGACTCGGTTTTGGATCACCTTTGAGACCTGACATAATCATTAGTCAAGACAAAATCTATTACCTTTGAAGGATATGGTAGAATCCAAGTGTTTCATATTCTATCTTCAAAATACAGCAGGACGAAACCTGGTTGTTGAATATTGTTGCAACTTCTGAAGACCATTTTCCCATTGTGGATAGCCAGAATATTGGTAGTTGGAGGCAATCTCTTGGCACAATATTTAGCTGTGGAAGTCCAACCACTGAAAAAGATATCTGCTTAGACTATTCAGAAAAGAATTTCACAAAACTTAAACAAAAAATGTCCAAAATCTCCAACTACCCTTACCCAAGAGAACTTTGCTTGCTTACACCCACAACTAAAGCCACAGCAGCAAAGTTCTTTGCCTCTCTAACCAAAATCTTTCGAGCGGAACTTCCTTTAAAGATCTGACTCATAAGAGCTACCTAAAACTCAAGCATCATAAAATGTATATCAAAATTTTCATTCCTTTTGATGTACTATCAAAGCTAAATGCTAGTTAATGATTTTTACATACCTTCTTTACAGAACATAGGCCTTCATATACTTCTAAATATCCTTCAAACAACATTTTCTCCCTCAAAGCATTACCTACATGGAAATTCATATTATAAAACAAGAAATAAATAACATAATTCAGAGAAAATTCTACAGATCATAATTAAAAGGCGGTACCGGATCCCCGAGTAACATGAACTGCAATAACACAATCTCCAGGTTCAGCAACTTTCACAAGAGCCCAGCTGAGCAAATCCCTGCTTTGGTTATCAAGTCTAATCCCAACAACCACGTTCTTCTTCTCACCAGCCCTAGTTTCCTCCTCCTCAGAAAACATTTTTGCTTCTATATTTGATCAATATTACTTCCCCAAATTCATTGGATTACGTTCATCCCAAGAATTTGCAGAATTTCTCCAAACTTATCCTCTTTTACAACCTCTCCAATTTTCCAGTTGATCATTTCAACCCCTGCAACAAAAGGAGCAACATGGGTGTGGGATCCTCAAGCTAACAATGAAAAAAAAAAAAGGTTGCAACTTTACGTTATAAATCATGCCCATTAACAGATTCCCATTAAAAAAATCAAATTTCTTAAGAAACCCAAATGGTACTTGCAGAAATAGCCATAAGAATTTATTCCAAGAGTAAAAAAACCCAGAAAAATTGTCAAATGAAGCATAAGATAAACAAGACAGGACAATCAAACCGCACCTAAACTTTGTAACCATTCATTATCCGAACCTGGTATGTTTTAAATATGATAATATTGCCGCCAAATATCATCATCTCCACCACCTGCCTCAATTAATTTTGAACACTCACTTATAAAAAATTTTTGGAAGACTAAGATATCATTTAAAATAAAAAATTAAAATTAAAAAAAAAAGTTGGGATGTGATGGGGGGGATCATTTTTTTTCCTCTTTTTTAAAAAAATGTAAAATTGTTACATTCGAGAAAAGATGGATAGTGGGGGAGAATTCTTGAGAAGAAAGTGTCGGGAATGGAGAAAGAAAGAGAGAGAAATCCGAGGGAGAAAGGTTAGGAAATGAGTTTTTGAGTTTTTTAGTGATAAACATGTTCGTTCAAAGAAGGAGGCAGTTTTCGCGCGAACCCCATTGTTTTCCGACAATTTTCAGGGAACAACGAAGGAGAGCAGAGGGGATGACTTTCACCGGCCATTGCGGGTTACCGAGGAGTCGTTAAGTGCAGTTTGGTCTTATTTTTTTTATATTTTTTGGTGGAAAATTAGAGTTTGGTCTTGTTTTGACTTTTGTTTTCTTTTGGTAAGGACACTGGTGAATATTTTTTTTTTGGCTTTTCATAGGACACTGATGGAAAAAAATAAATAAATTTGTCTATCTGTGTATTGACTAGTAGTATGTATTTAGTTGGTATCTATTTCAACCAAATCTCAGCATGTTTGAAGAATTTAACTATTAATTGCTAAATAATCAATTAGGTGCCAAATAAAGAACACATACTACTTGTATACCCAAATAAGCCTTCTATGGAAATGAAATCCATTTGCTTTTCTTGGAAGAGCTAAAAGTCAGATACCTTACTTCTTGTGTATGATTACACAATTATATACATACATACCAATTATGACAATTATACCTTGCTTAATATGTATGAATTTGCTTGGGATTAATTTTTTCTTTTAAATTATTATTTTTTTAAATAGACTAACGCAACGTACAATGGTAACTGTTATTGAAGAAAGGAAGAAATCTTATTTTCCTTTTTTTTTTGTCACTGACAAGACACTATATAATAACCGAAGGATCAGTGTTGTAGAAGGTTTTAGGTGACATTTGGTGTTGGGTCACCGCTAATGCTATAGAAACTTAAGAAGCAATAATATATACTTCTTTCTATCTGATTTAATTATTTTATTTTAATTTTGATATAAAATTTAAATAAATAATTTTCTATAATAAATATATGAAAATTAAAAATTTTTTATACATATTTTTTATTAAGTATTTTCACTTAAATAAACAAAATTTTAAATTGTCAATCATTTACTATATAAAATTATTAAATTAATTTACATAAAGTTAAAAATTAAGATAACTAAAAAAGACTAA